TGGTCCCCAGCCGATAGCACCGTGGGAAGAAGGTGTTGGGGTCTGCTTGCTCGATCCAGGGCAGGTTTTGCAGGCTGAGGCACAGCCCCTCCTGTTTAGAGAAGGTTGTCAGTCCCTAGTGAACCCACCCCTCATGTCCCCCCCTCTCCAAGGGCTCCGTGTTCCCCACCTTGGTGGTGAAGGCACCCACTCGGGCATAGTGGTTCACCACATGGTCCTGCTCCAGCAGCCGAGGGTCAACAGCACTGAGGCAGTTGGCCCAGACGAAGTTTGGCACTCGGTACCGCACCAGGTAGGACTGTGAGGGAAGGGACCAGGGTGGGACATGGAGCCCCCATCCCAGGGTGTGCCCCATGCCTGGGGGTCCCAGGGAAAGGCGCTGGGGGGATGTGGCAAAGCTCAGCCCTCTCAGCTAACCATGAGGTCATGGATGCCACTGGGGTCCTCATCGCACTGCTCTTCCTCCTTCTCCTCCTCCTCCTCAGTGGGTGGCCATGGGGAGTGCAGCAGCTCTGTGATCTCCAGGGCAGGCTGTGCCCCACCAAGTGGGTTCAGCACTGCCTCCCCCTGCTCCTCACCATCCTCCCTTGCCTCTGTCTCCAGCCACTGTTTGTGTTGGTTGCCACGATGCTGCTCCAGCTGTCTGCCCACGCTGGGGGGCTTCCTCTCCACCCAGCCCCGGGCCCGCAGCAGCCTGCGGATGATGGGGTAGGGGCCCTGCACCATGAAGATCTTCTTTTCCTGCACAGAGACCAGAGGGCTCAGCCTGCCCCAGTCCTGGTCCCTCCAGCTCAGCTCTCCTGAGCCAGACATGCAATAAAGGCAAGCACATGGCATTTGGGGAGGTGTGAAATCAGGCCCCTCACCTTAATGGCTGTCTCCACATGCAGCTTGGCCTTCTTGAGGAGCTCAAGGTCAAGCCAGCACTGGCGGCCATCCTGATGGCTGGTGGTGGTGGCTGATGCCAGCCGTGTGAGCACAGCCCTGTCTGAGCTCACTGGCCTCGTGTCCCCAGCACGGGGTGGGGCAGAGCGAGGGAGAGGGCACTGCCCCGCCTGCCTCTGCCTGGCTGAGCCTGGGGCCCCTGACATGGCATTGTCTGACCTGCCAGGCTTTGCACCAGTGCCCCGGGTGCCCTGCACAGCTCCAGGACGTCCCACTGTGCCCTTGTCCCCAGCCTGCTGGGCCCGGGGACTGCTGGGGTGTGCCCTGCTCCAGCGCTGCCCCTGGCTGGGGGGCTGTGTGCCTGCAGTGCTGCTCTCTGTGCTACATTGTTCCATGGTAGCCTGAGGGCGAGGGAAGCTGTGGGTGGCTCTGCCTCCTCTGTGCCAAGCAGGTCATTCTAGTCCCCTGTCCTGCTGGGGACTGGAGCAGGTGCCCAGTGCAGGATTGGCCCCTCAGCCCCAGCACCACTGTGATATCGATATGCAGGCTGTGGCCCCCAAATCCCAGTGTCACCGCGATGTCAGAGTGCAGGATGTGGCCCCCAGTTCTAGTGTGATGTCAAGGTGCAGGATGTGGCTCCCCCCCACCCCCAGCAGTGCTGTAACGTCACAGCCCCAGCCCCCACAGTGGCTCTACTGCCCTCAAGGGGGGATAAACAGCCCCCTGTGCCCACAGCCTCCTGCCCCCTCCTCAGACCGCACACCCCCCACAAACCCAGAGGATCCCCTCAAGCCCCTTGGTGCCCCCAGGCCCCCTTCAAGTCCTTTCATATCCCCCCATTGCCCCAGTGGCCCTCCCCGACACCATCAACCCCACCGTTTGCTGTTGCCATGGCGCTGCACTCCTCCAGTTTCACGCCCCTTCCCATTCCATGCTCTGACCCCCCTCCCCCCGGCCACGGTCCCCCCATCCCCCGGTGCGGCGGGAGGGAGGAGTCGGAGTCGGTGGATACAGCAAACGAGACCGTTTAAAAAAACAAGACGAGACAGGGGCAGCGCCGGGGCCGCGCTGCCGCAAGCGGGGGCTGCTCCCACCCGGCCGCCCCGCCCACAGACGGGCAGGTGGGGCCCGGCCCGGCCCGGCCCGGCCGTTCTCAGGGAGCGGGAGCAGGCACAGGCACGGTGCCCGGCGGGCACAAGCACGGGGGAGCCACGGGGTCCTGCACCACGGCCTAAAACTGGAAAGGAGAGAAGACACGCAGCTGTCAGTCCCTGCCTGGGGCACTCACCGCCCTCCTGGCACCCGCGTGGTGCTCACAGAGATCCACGCTCAGCTTCTCCCGCTGCCTCCCCCAGGCACTGCACATCCATCACAGCATCCACCCAAACGACCTGAGACCCCAAGGCTGCTGTTGCCCCTGAGCACGCTCTGGGGGGGTCTCAAAACTGGCACTTTGTGAGCACCAAGCCTGACAAAGTCCAAGAAGTGTTTGGACAACACTCTCAGACACATGGTGGGATTGTTGCAGTGTCCTGTGCAGGGTAAGAGCTGGACTGGATGATCCTTGTGGGTCCCTTCCAACTGAGAAATTCTGTGATTCTCTGAAAGGGGGTACGAGTACCCTCAGCACCCTCCCCTCCCTGTTCCCAAGACGGTCCTTGGGTAGAATGTCACCACTGTCCCCACTGAGGTGACAGGGGGGCTCTGGGCACAAGGGCCACACTGGCTTTGAGCACCACACCCCACTCCCAAAATCAGGGACCCGTCCCCTCCCGTTCCAGAGCCTCACATTCTTGAGGAACTCCTCTGCCACAATGCGGGCCCTGGCATTAACAGAGAGCTTCATCTCGCTGATTTCCTTGTCGATCTCCTCCATGAAGTGGATGACAAAGTCCACCAACTTGTGCTTGTACATCTGCTCCGTGTGGAAGTTTGTGATCAAGAAGCTGATGTCGTAGCCCTGAGAAAGAGAGAAATGCCCTGGGGATCAGCACCCAAGTCACTGACATGCAACCTCACAACCCAGTTCTGCCCTGGACACCCTCTCAGCGCCAGGAGCAAAGCTGGGGGCTGCTCTGCCCCCTCCCTGCCCCCTCACCTCCACGGGCTTCCTGCGCAGGATGAAGAAGTTTTCAGCCCTCATCATCATGAAGCGCATGAATTTGTGGCACAAGATCTTCTCAATCTCGTCAGCCTGGGGAGAGAAAAGGGAAGTAAAGCTTCCCCCAAGGCAGGAGCTGCCAGCCCCTGCCCACGCCCCCTCACCTGCTTCACAGCGATGCTGACACGCACGGAGTTGATGGAGCCCTCGATGAGTACCTTCTCCTTCTCATTCCTGCTGATGATCACCGGCTGCAACAGCAGCTCTTTGCTGCTCCTGCAGAGGAAGGGCAGGGGTGACTCACAAGGCAGCGTTCACTGCGAGGTAGAGGGAAGCGGAGCCGCGGGGATCACAGAGATGGGGGGGTTTGCTGCAGGATGCTTCCCGCCCCCCTGGGACGTCCCTCCCCAGGGCAGACCCTCCCTCGTCCCCAAGCTGGATCCCCTCCTCCTTCCCGCAGCTCCCCGGCTCCCTGCCGGCACCAGCGCTGTGCCTGAGGGCCGGGGGGTGCCCGGAGCACGGCAGAGACCAGCCCGCGTCCCCCGGGGCGGGCAGCGGGGGCTCCGCAGGGCTCCCCCGGTACCCCCCTCCCCCTACCTGACTTCCACCTCGGGCTTGTTGTGCCGCTCCACCACCTGCGAGGAGAAGTTCTCCAGGCACAGCGCAGCCTGCAGCGTGGCGCGCACCGCGTTCAGGTACGGGCGCAGTGTGGCGGTCTGCGGGGACACGGCGGTGCCGTCATACCGCGCACCGGGGACCGGCTGCTCCCGGGTCCCGCCCCCTGCGCCAGCCCCCGGCCCGCAGCCCCCGAGCCCCGATCACCCCCCGCTAGTGCCGATGCCAGTCCCGATGCCGGTGCTGTCCCCCCGCCCATCCCGGTCCCCCCACCCTACCATGGCGGTGGCGGCGGCGCTCCGGTCCCGGCAGGCGGAAGTGGCCGATCACCTCTTCCGGGATGCGCGGCACCTCCCACTGCGGCGGGCGGGAGGGGGTGCGGACAGAGAGCTCCCGCCCTGCGGCCCGGCCCCCCCGCGGCACGGAGCGGGGTGGCGGCGGCGACAGCCGGCGGGGCTCCCCCCCGCGCCGCGCCACACTTGGTACGCGCCTGTCAGCTCTTCCATATTAGGGCAGGGAGATGGAGGGCACGCTGGGCCAATGAGCGTCGGCGCGGGGCGCGGCGCGGCCAATGGGCGGCGAGGGGCGGGGCGGCCGCAGGGCCGGAAGGGGCGCGCGGCCCAGGCCCGGGGCCCCCCCCGCCGCGTCCCCGCCGCGCCCCGTGAGCCCACCCCGGCATCTCACCCCGGGATCCCGCCCCGTGAGCCCATCCCGGGATCTCACCCCGGGATCCCGCCCCGTGATCCCGCCCCGGGTCCCCGCAGCGCCCCAGTGATTCCTCCAGGTTCCCCCCGGTGATCCTGCGCCCGGGTCCCTCACAGCCCCGATGCTCCCCGGGTCCCCGTAGCCCCCCGCTCCGCTCCCCTCTCCCCCGGGTTCCCCTGTCCCCAGCGCCGCTCGGTGCCCCCGGAGCCCCCCGGTGCCCGGTGTCCGCCGCCATGAGCGAGCTGAAGGACTGCCCGCTGCAGTTCCATGACTTCAAGTCGGTGGACCACGTGAAGGTGTGCCCCCGGTACACGGCCGTGCAGGCCCGCTCGGAGGATGACGGCATCGGCATCGAGGAGCTGGACACACTGCAGCTGGAGCTGGAGACGCTGCTCTCCTCCGCCAGCCGCCGCCTCCGTGTCCTGGAGGCCGAGACACAGGTGCTGGGACTGTGTAGGGTCAGGGACAGGCTCTCTGTCCCGCTCCTTCCTGCCCAGGGGCTGCCCCCGGGCCAGCCCTGCCCAGCCCCGGGCATGGGACCTGATGGGGCATCAACTTTCTTCCAGATCCTGACAGACTGGCAGGATAAGAAAGGCGACCGGCGGTTCCTGAAGCTGAGCAAGGACCACGATGTGGGCACATCTGTCAAACATGGGAAGCCCAAGAAGCAGAAGCTGGAGGGCAAAGGGGGCCATGGGACTGGGCCTGGCCCCGGCCGGCCCAAGTCCAAGAACCTGCAGCCCAAGATCCAGGAGTACGAGTTCCAGGATGATCCCATTGAAGTGCCCCGCATTCCCAAAAATGATGCTCCAAACAGGTGTGTGGGTGTTGGGAGGCATTGGGATTATCTGTCTCCTTCTTTGGAGCACCCAGCACAAGGGCCAAGGCATAAGGTACCCTGGGGAAGGGGGACGTGTCAGCTCCCGTGTGCTCCCCTGCAGCTCTCCCTCACAGTCCATCCGTCCCTGCAGGTTCTGGGCATCAGTGGAGCCATACTGTGCCGATCTCACTAATGAGGAGGTCAGAGTCCTGGAGGAGCTGCTCAAGCCGCCGGAGGATGAGGCTGAGCATTACAAGGTGAAAAGCTCCTGAGCCCATCCTGTGTCCTTTCTCCCCATCCCCTCCAGTACCTCACAGCAAGTGTTCCCGCTCGGGATGCTGCTGTAGTGCTGGGGAGGTGGGAGGCAAGGTGGAGGCTCCGGGAGCTGTGCTGAGCCCTGCTCTCGCAGATCCCGCCACTGGGGAAGCATTATTCCCAGCGCTGGGCACAGGAGGACCTGCTGGAGGAGCAGAAGGATGGAGCCCGGGCAGCAGCTGCTGCCGACAAGAAGAAAGGTGTCCTGGGGCCACTGACCGAGCTGGACACCAAAGGTGCCCCACCCTGCCCCTGCCTTTCCCTAGAGGGGCTGGGAGCACTCATGCCCAGTGGAGCCAAGCCCCAGCCCCAGGGGCTGAGGCTGCCCTGCCCCACTGCTCACCTCTGTTGGGTCACCTTTGGGGTTGTTTATTTCCCTCTCCCCAGACGTTGATGCCCTCCTGAAGAAGTCGGAGGCCCAGCACGAGCAGCCAGAGGATGGGTGTCCCTTCGGTCCCCTGACGCAGCGTCTCCTGCAGGCCCTTGTGGAGGTGAGGGGGCTCTGTGGGGCCAGGCCAGGGCATGGGGGGCAGCATCACCACAACCCAGCACTAACTCTTACCTTTCCCTCATGCTCCCTTTGCTAGGAAAACATCATCTCCCCCGTGGAGGACTCCCCCATCCCTGAGATCGCCGGCAAGGACTCAGGAGCTGATGGTGCTGGCACGTCTCCCCGCAGCCAGAACAAGCCCTTCAGGTGAGCTGCTGATGTAGACCCGGAGCTGGGCACTTCCCATGGGTGCACCGAGCACAGCGCTGGCTCCCTGCCCGGTGAGTCGCGGGGAGCAAAGGGCGTGTGGTGGGCAGCAGCCACTCTCCGCCCCGACAGTGTCCCCCACACCAAGTCCCTGGAGGGTCGGATCAAGGAGGAGCTCGTGGCCCAGGGCCTGCTGGAGTCAGAGGACCGCCCGGCCGAGGACTCGGAGGACGAGGTGCTGGCAGAGCTGCGCAAGAGGCAGGCGGAGCTCAAGGCCCTCAGCGCTCACAACCGCACCAAGAAGCACGAGCTGCTGCGGTGAGAGCGAGCGGGCAGGGATGGGGGCGAGCAGGGGGCTGCCTGGTGGGGACTGACACCCCCGTGTGCCCCCTAGGCTGGCCAAGGAGGAGCTGCACCGGCAGGAGCTGCGGCAGCGTGTCCGCATGGCCGACAACGAGGTGATGGACGCCTTCCGCAAGATCATGGCCGCCCGGCAGA